GTTGGTCAGAGGTGACTGGAAATTTTAAAGGGAGGATGAGGGTATAGGAGGGAGAAAGGTGAAGCCATATCAGAGTCAAGAAAGGAAAGACAATTAAAAAGTATAAAGGAAGGGTTGGTTCATGGGAAACCCATTCTAATTGGCACTTATTGAAGTTAGGTATCTGTCCTCCCATAGAGATTAGGAGATAGGAGCCTCATCTTCAGGTGTTGGCTGGAATAAACAGTAAGTTTTTGACAACCTTGGGTTTTCTCAAGCATTCACTTTAAGCAGAGGTAGAATCATCTCAGGGATGTGATCTCAGGCTGTTAGAAACCATGTCAGTGTTTGTTCAAGTCTTGATAGACTAATGGCTTAGTTAGGTACTCAGAGTCATTGGTCAAGGACAGAATTTTTGTCACTGTCTACCCAAATTCATGAACCCCCTTTGTAATAACACAGTTGTAGTCAGGCATGCAGAGCTACCCAAAGAAAGATGGTACTTCTCAGGCCTCCTTGTGGTGAGGGTGCAGAATGACCACGTTATGGCTAAGGGTATGCAAGAGGGAGTGGTACGCAAGTGGGAGCGCTGTGCCACCACATCTGGCAGGGACCTGAAACCTCTTACATGTGCTGCTTTTTTCCCTTCCCTTAATGAGTTTCAATGAGAACAGAGGAATGTACAGAGACCAGATGGATGGACCAGGAATCACAGTGATCATGTGAAGCAGCATCCTGCCTATGTCCTAGAATATTGCTTTATTAGATTCTCTCTCTCTCTCTCTCTCTCTCTCTCTCTCTCTCTCTCTCTTCCTCCTATCTACTTGCTTAACCTTTTACTTATCTACAACCATTGATTGGCTTTGTGACCTTGGACAATTGCAGTTTCTAGATATGCAAAAGGAAATTATATAACTTTGCATGGTATCATGAGGATTGCTAGAATTGATTCATCTAAAGGCCTTAGCTGGGTGCCTGCTCTATAGTTGATGCTCAAAGAAAGTGAACTGTGATGACAATTATGTTCATGATAATGATAGTGATTGATGATGGTGGTGGTGGATGATGCTCATTGTTATTGACAAATTCTATATAGCATGTCTTTCCGTGAGTTGGTCTCCATGCCTCAGGCCTGGAAGTGTCATATGATATTTACTTCCATTATCCTATGAAATTTAGTAGATTCTTTAAAAAAATGAGTGTTGCCTCTGTACTTGTGGAATGGCTCCTACGGGTCTGAGTTGGTCCTCTCTTTCTTCTTTCTTTCCTCTGGATTCTGTGCAGACCTATTCAGGCTCTGCATTCTCCAGTCTCTCTCACACCATCAGAGGGCCTGGGAAACTCACCAGCTACCATCTGCTCACAATGATACCTACAATTTCTCAGTGTTCATTGCTCACCTACTTTTGCTTATTACTTCATTCATTCATTGAGTATTTATTGAGTAGTTATTACACCTGACATTGTGCTGAAGAAAGAGGATGAACAGTGAACAGAACACACCATTCCCTCTTCTAATAATTTTTGTCATTCTTTGGAGATTATACAAATGATCAATGAGTTAATCACACCAATAGAAAGAACGAGAGAAAAAGAAATAAAGAGAGAAAAGAAGGAAGGAAGGCAGGCAGGAAGGAAGGGAGGGGGAGAGAGAGAGACATAGAGGGGAATACTGTGAAGGGAATAAAAGAAAGACTGGGAAAGGGTGATCTAGGAGATGATATCTGGGCTGTGACCTGAACCCTGGGGAGTGATGAGCTGTGAGAAGAATGTGATGCTCTTGTCATCCTGGGTCAACTCCTGGAGAAACTAAGTGCAGCCCCTCATGGAGGATGCTCACCCTCAGCAGAATAGCAAGCTGCTGCTCCTTGGCCGTCTGCACTTGACCAGAGCATCCATTGGCGTGAATGGCTAACGTGCCCCACTCATCCAGACCTCTGAGGAAAGTAGGACCTACCTACCGAAAGAGTGAGCTTGGGTTTTGGAGAAGCACACAGAAAAACTCTCCATCATTTGTTTTCCTTTAATTTTCAAATATCTGGAGATTTTTTCAGATCATTTGTCATAAATACACTCTGTTCATATTATACACTAAACACAATAAAAGATTCTGAGAACTTGCAAACAAAATTTATTGTAATTTTACCTTGAGGGATAAAATAAAAAGAAGTACCCTTGTTATGACTGGAGTTTCATTCGGAACCAATGGAGGGTCTGACTTGGAGCTGAGCTTAAAGTGTGGATTTATTTATCTTTGCAATCTGAATTCTCTAGGATGCCCATAAATGTGCTGAGTCAGTTTTTTTTTAAGACAGCATTTTTTTTTGTGTGTGTTTTTAAGATTTTTCAACCCCTCTAAATTTTAACTACATGTAAGGGGGTAGAGGAGGATGTCGGTTAATATTCATTGAGCAGCTTGTTCAGGTGCCCAGGTAATGCAAATCTGCCTAGTTGCTTTTGTTCCAATTTCTGTTGTGTTGGTCCTCTGTCCTTTGATGTTTATCCAATCTGATGTTTAGCAATTAATATAGACAACTGGCAGCAAATTCTGATATAGAAAACCTGTAAGGAGCACTTTTTAAATGATCATGCCATGTATTATAAATAACTCATGCGGTTACATGCTCCATTCTACTTTCCATGACAATGGCAGGCTTGCAGGGGCAGTGGGGAAGTCACTGTCAGAGAGAGATGACATTTGTGGAACTTAACTGAGAGTTGGCTTACGTTTTTCTTTTCTTTCTAAAGATTCATACTAAATCTATGGGTCGTTATACTTCACAATGATCCCTAGAATGAACAATGCAGTACAAATATATAATAGAATGCTATTCAGCCATAAAGAAGAATGAATTCTTTCACATGCAGCAACGTGGGGGGAACTGGAGGGCATTATTTAAGTGATGTAAGTCAGGCACAGGAAGACAAATACTGCATGTCCTCACTTAAGTATGAATGCTAACATTGATTTCAAAGAAGTAGCATAGAATTGTGATTATCAGAACCTGGGAAGGCTGTGGGGGAAGGAGGGATGGAGAGAAGATGATTAATGGCTACAGGGGTGTAGTTGGATAGGAGGAATAACTTCTAATGTTCTGTAGCACAAAAGAATAACTGGTTGACAGCAATTAATTGAATATTTCAAAATAAGCTAGCAGAGAGAATTTCAAATGCTCCCAATATAAAGAAATTATATATGTCCAAGGTGATAAATATACCAATTACTCTGATCCAATCATTACACATTGTGAGCTTGTGTTGGAAAACCAAACTGTCCATAAGTATGTACAATTATGGGTCAATTAAAATATAATAGAAAATAAAAATGCCATTGTTGCCCATATCTCAGAATTACCTTTGATCTGCTATTTGTCTACTCTTTTGTCAGTGGAAATTCTCTCTGACACTTTCATATGGCACAGAATCTGACAAAAAGTGTTGCTTTGTGTCCCATTCAGGTGTTCAGCCACTGAGATGCCCACCAGAAGAACATCATCTTAAGGTAGTCTTATGCACAAGGCAACCCACCAGTATGAGCTCTGAAATATGTAATTGTTGGTGGCTCACCTCCACAAATGTTGAAATGTGTCATCTGAACTCCACAAAAGTTTAAATGACTTCAGCATAGTGATTTTGATTTCATGGTCTGGGGTGGGACTAAACTTATTCACATTTTCAAATAACATTCTGTTTTTTTCCAACTCACATTAAGTTAAGTTTCTCTGCATGATGACTTTTTAATAATCAGGAAGATTTAACAAGGCTTATTTCTCCTGTTCTCCAATTTCAGTATTTAAAATGGCATTTTTTTTTTATCAGTCACTGCAGATGAGGAACAGAAAGGCCTGTTATCTAATAAATTATTGCATCAAGCCCACCATATCTAAACTTTCAGAAGAGCGTGGTAAAAAACAACATCTTCTAAACATGGTAAGTTGCTAATCTCAGTTGCCTCAAATGCTTCTCTTTCCATAAATAAGCCAAATCTCTCATTTCAGCAAGACTTCTGGGCCTTTAAATCCATAGCTTCTCAGACATCCCACTGAGAAATGATCACTTGCAGTGCACATGCCAAAGGGTTCCTGCCAGAGGTAAACAATCAGTTTACCTAGCAGTGTTGAAGAGAACAGTGTATTTGACTGTCAGTACAAACAATTCCTGGGAGACAGACCCCACACTCCTCTGCACCGACAGCTCAGCCCCTGGTAGGTGTGTCTGCAGTTGTTTATCTCAGGTAGCAAATGGAGGACAGTGTGTTTTCATCATTTATCTATGAAGGCTTGCGATTAAATCCAAATCCTTCTTAAATACTACATTGCTATTTTTATTTTAAGACCTGGCAAGTCTTTTTCAGTTCTTCAGAAAATGAATTTAGGTGTGTGAAAAGAGATAAGCAACAGTGTGTGAACTTCTCTGCTTGACCACTGAGCGGACATACTATGGATAATTGGGTATTGCAGGGCAGATTTTTCCAGCACTCTCTTTTATAATAATGTTCAAATTCCACTGAAGAGCAAACTGAAGGCATGGAATCCAATTGTTCTTGAAGTCTATCCTTCGTGTCTCAATTAACAGAAGACAACTAGCCGCACTCAAGTAAAACCCTTGTAAATTTTAGACAACTGCTTTGCATCATTTTTTTTTTCCTGTTGATCCAGAGTTTTCCCTGAATAGTTTCTGAAATATACCATTTTCCATCTCTTAGGATATGTTCTTTACGTTTGGCCTTTGGTTTCCCTTATATAGGGTGCTTTTCATTTACTTATTTAGTGGTAATGGATATAGGACACAAGGACACTCCCACTGACCTAAAGCTCCAGCTCTTTTTATTTATTTAGTTTATTATTTTGAGACAGAGTCTTACTAAGTTGCTGAGGCTAACCTGTAGCTTGTGAGCTTCCTGCCTCAGCCCTTGAGTTGCTGGGATTACAGACATGCATCACTACATCTAGTTGGAATATTTTAAAACTGCAGATGCTTGAAATGTATTGGTTCAATTTCTTGGGAATAGGTCCAAGGATCTGCATTTTTTGTATTCTCCTCAGATGAATATTAAGCAGGTTCCAGAGAGAGAAGCACTACTGTGAGTGGTTCAGAGCCCACAGGGAGGTGGGAAGCCAACTGCAGGGAATGTGGTAGGCACATCTCTTGTTTCCATGAGCCCCATATGACTGGAAAAATGATCCCTAGATGTATGATTACTTTTAGAGTCATGATTCTAATATGTATTCCCCTAACAGCTTCTTATGATTTGTCCTGAGACACCAGTGTATCACTCCTGGGAACAATGTTGTGAATTATAAACAATTCTGAGTCACCATTTGGAAAACAGTCTGTCCATGCTCTGAGAAATGCCAAAAAAGAATAAGTGAGATAATGTTCAAATACAGAAGCTACAGCTCCCCCAGAGTCTCAGGTGAACTTCAATGCCTGTTTCTCCAGGGCCGTGCACTGGCTCAAGGTTCAATACATTTCAGTAATTATTCTTTCAGCTCTGGCTTTAGTTTTCATATATATATATAAGAACATTGGCTATCTTATTTCATTTTTACATTTGATTTTTCTTCTACTTGAAATTGTTTTGTCAAACTTGAACATCTACTTGATTTTCCAGCTCTGGCATCAAATTGCTTATGTCTCATTAAAAAAAAAAAATCAGACCTTTCCTTTTCTGTATGGTTTCCCACTCCAGATGATTTTCAGAAGTAGGTTTGGAACATGGGGAATTCCAAAATTCCCCAATTATATGACTAAATACATTAGAGCAAAACAAAAATAAGTCATTAGAGTCTGAGTGAGTGGTTTATCTGAAGACAAAGACTTTTTTATTTATCACCATGTTCCCATCATTTCACTATTTTACAGATTGCAAACCACTATGGATTTTACATGGCAATTTGTGTGTTCTCCATGTGCCAGGAAAGATATAGAGCCTAGCAACTGTTAATGTGCAAGGGATATAAAGATAATCACATATGGGTCACCCATTTAAGGACATTCTGCATACCCATCTATTCATCCATCCATCTAGTTGTCAATGAACATATTTCTTGAATGCCTAGTATATGTCAGAGATTTTGCTTTGTACCAAGTATACAAAAATGAACGAGAACGGCATGGCCTTTTTCTGTCTTGGATTTGATTATCTACTATAGGAGAAACGTGGTTAAAACAGACATTATGATAGAATATAATCAGAGTGTTTTCAGAGGAAGAAGGAGAGATGGAAGGAACAGGGTACAAGGCCCTAGAGGGTCACAGATGTCGGGAGGGTTTCCTATCTATGGAGAGTGGGTGTAAATTTAAAATTACATAGAAAAGCACGACATTCAAATGTGATTCAAGGAGCAAGAGAAAAGTTATTGAACAGACAGATAAGAAAAACTGGAGAAGATAGGAAATGATCTCAGTTTTCAGTAGGTGCCCAGTGGTTTTCTACCTGAATGTCATTCAATTTTTAAAAAGTGCAAAAATCACTGTGATATTTTTTACCAGTGCTTTTCCCACTTTAATGGACCCAAGGATCTTGCTAAGCTGTGACTTTTAATTTAGTAGCTTTGGAAAGTATAGTTTTATATCAAAGTTTTGTAAGTGCTCAGGTGTGGCCAAATCATATTATATGCATGTGTAAGTATGTAGCAATAAATCCCACTATTATGTATAATTGTAATGCATGAATCAAAAAATATGTAGTGCTTAGTTGTCAATGTTACTGACTTGAAAACCACCCTTTGAGGAACAAAGCTCTGGATTACTCCATACCAGTTTTTCAATTCAAGTTATGAAGCTAGCAGAAACTTAATTTCAAAACTTGCTAAGATAGTGCAGTTTTGCTTAAAATACGAATTAAAAATGTATTAACAAATTGAATTTGGCAGTGTATTATAAGAATAACTCACCATGACTAATAGAAATTCAAAAAAGATTCAAAATTTGGATTTTTACCAACATAATTAATTATATCAACAAACATAATTCACTTAATCAATAGATGTCAAAAAGGCAATTTCTAAAATTCAGTAGCTGTTACTACTAAATTTTTATCACAAAATGTAATAAAATACGATACAAATATGTATCACAAAGCTAACAGTAAACATCATATTAAGGTTTGGAATTCTAAAACCATTTTATGATATTTAGATATACTTCATAAGTTACTGATGTCATTTAATATAGAGGTTTTAGCTGATGTAATAAAGCAAGAAAATAATTGTTTAATTATTGAAAAAGAAGTGATAAAATTATTCTTATTGGTGTAAGATAAAAGAGAATGCTTAGTAAACTAAGAGAAGTCCCTAAAATCTACAGACATTAATAAGATAAAATGAATTATCAGAATTAATAAGATGATTATGGATCATCCTAGCTTCTCAATTATAGAATAATCAGTTGGAAGAGGAAAAGTTTTAAAAAAATACATTCACCACAATAGAAAGTAAAATTCCAAGTAAAAAAATCTAAAAAGAAAACTTAGGTGTTAAGTTATCATAATTTCAAAATCTTATTGAGGGATAAAAATTAAGACACAAATTAGAAAGACTAGTGAGTAATATTTTTGTTATACAATATTTTAG